TGTTATATCTTATAATATAATTATTATAAATTAACTTTTAAATTTAATTATGTTTCAGTTCAGAGTCTGTTTATTTATATTATGATAAAGAAAGTAAAAATTTTATTTATCGTATACCTGTTAATTATTTGTTTTTTTTTTAAATCATTGTTATAGGAATATTTGTTTGTGATCCAATAAATTAATTGTTTTATTAACTATTGATTAAATAGAAACGATTAAGTTGAAATCGAGACTTTCTTGGAGATCAATCTTCCCGCGTCAAACACATCCAAACAAATCGTATCACGAGAACATTTTCCTGTCACGTTTAAACATAATCTATAAACGTATCGTCAACTTCTATCCTCTCTTTCTGTAATACCACTTACACTTACACGATCACTATCGATTCTTCGCGAAGCCCAAAGATTGACACTTTATCGTATTCCGCGCATGATCGAATGGATCCTATCGATCTTATTACATTCAAAGGATTCGCTAAACGAAACGATAAGACGACGGGGGAAAGACGAGAGGGAGTTCAAGAAACCGTTCGACTCTTGAGAGCGACATCGACTTGAACGACGACGCCTCATGGCGACCACGGACGACCACCACACTCCGCCGCGATGGTCATGGTGGTATGGCCATGGTGTGTAGGCATCGTTGATGGCCCGTTTCGAACTGAACTGCCGCGAAAGGCCCGGCGAGAGAAGAGAGAGCCATTCCCGTTCCCATAGCACGTGGTGCTTTCTCTCTCTTTCTCTCTTTCCTCGCCGTTTCCCCCCTTTGCTTTGGTATCTCGCGACCCTTGGTCCCCCTCTTCCACAATCGGCATCCCTCTCGCTCTTCACCTTCCAGCCCCTTTCGGCTCACACCGGCTTCTCCATGCAGATTCACTCTTCTCCCCTCCGTCAATCTTTCTCTCTCGTCGTCTACCCCGCTTTATCTTATTATATTTCTCTTGCACCTTTCTGATGTCTAGCTGGACGTCTAAGCGATCTCTCTCTCTCTCTCTCTCTCTCTCTCTCTCTCGCTCGCTCTCGTTCTCGATCTCTCTATGGTACCTACTCCAGTGTTGCTATGCTTCTTTGTCTAAATACAACCTTCTCGCACCCTCCTATATCCCACTTTATCACCCTGTCTCTCTCCTTCTCTTATTCTCTGTCTCTTTCTCTTTTCTCGGGTACACCCTCGCAGAATCGATCCTTGTTCTTCGTTAGCCTCTCTCTTTATTTCTCTCACAATCTCTCTCGGTCTCTCCTTCGTTCGTTTTAACTCTCGCAGCCTCGCTCTGGAGCTCGCTCTCTTCGATCCTACTTCTCTTTCGTGATACGCAACCAACCAATGGTGGGTTTAGTTTTCCTTGAGAACCAACCAATGCTGATGGCACGCTCGACGGATTTTTAAATCATTTTTATGTTAATGTCCCGCGCCCAATGTGCACGTGCACGCATGAACGTGCGCCATGGATGGACTTTGTATGTACTCTAACGAGATGTGCGTACGCATGTGGAAAAACTTTTTTGTCAATCTTGATATTCATCCGTCTATACTTTTGCTCGTTACATTTTTAACACACATGACACACTTGAGAGTTCCTAAATTCAAAAATAAAATTTTAGCTAAAATTCTTTGAAATTGGTTTATTAAATTGTATAAAAAAAATTCTCTTTTAAAACAAAAAATTAAATTGTTAATTCTTATATTCAATAAAAAGACGTTTATAATCTTATAATAATAAATAATTAGATATGAATTAAGAAGAAAATTCTTAGGCGTGTGTATTATTTAAGCGTACCTATTGTGAATCGACAAAAAAGCTTTGTTTTTCATTCAATTTCGAGGAAAATCTATTCTAAAGGAAAATTTATAATAGATTCTAATAAACTTTCTATATATACAATATCAATTCTTATTGAACCGCTAAATTTCAAACAGAATGAGACAATGCCACAGCAGTCTAAGCTGGATCACAGATGGTATATATATTTATATATACATATGCGTATATTTAATTTATTGAATTTAATAAATTAAATTATTTATTGCATTAAGAAACTTTCAAATATGTAATGGAAAGATTGCTACATATATATATATATATATATATATATATATATAGGAAGAGAGAGAGAGAGAGAGAGACAGAGAGAGAGAGAAGGTTTACATATATAAACGTTCTTTTAACAAAAACATCAAATTCGCTAAAATGTTTTCTCAACAAATTCAGGATATGTATTTTGAAGCTCCGAATATATGTTCCGCAGTCTTGAGAGTGGTCCATAACGCGCCCACGCGGGGGACTAGGTATACTCGGGGCATAATGGAGCATTGTTAATATGTTAATGCGCGGCCTGGCCGAGGGCCCGGGCATTGCGTTTCTCCCGTCCGAAGAATCGTTACGCGCTCCATTAGATTCAGGCTCGCATGCCCCTTTTGCTTGAAAGAGATTTTTTTCGGTATTTTTCTGTTATCTAGACACTCTCGCAGGCCAAGAATTTTCTAGTCCGGGCGCAAACATCCCTTAATTCGATTTTTACGATCCAAAAAATCTAGGATCTAATTTAAATATGTTATTTTATAAATTAAATGCAACTTTTCCGAAATATGAAACACAAGTTAAATATCCGATATAATTAATATAATTAAATGTAAAATATAATTTAAACAATGAGAAAATTATAAATTAAAAATAAATTTTAAAATTAATAATATTAAGATTAAATCCCCTAAATTGAGACAGATTTATAAATATTTATTAGATTAGCTGCGAAATGTTACCCGAATTATTTAAGATATTTAAGGACATTAGTCATCAAAGCAATTCGTTGTTCGATTCAAGAAGGTATTAAGTATGTGATTTAGTTTTAAAGGTTTTTTAAAACACTAATTTATTATTTAAACAAAATAATGAACGAATACCTTAATTAAAATATTTTCATCTCTCGCGAAACTCTCAAAATTAAATCACATACCCAATATATTGCAATTTAAAAATATCGACCTTGACTCAGAGCATACGGCATCCCTGTGTGTGAAATTATGTGCACGAACGATTAATGAGAACGCAAAGTCAGTCCTAAAATAGCTTTTAAGAGCTACGTCCTTTTTTTCTTTGCACTTATCTCTGCATGTTTTTTCTCTTTAATTTATTGCTGCGAGGACAAAGAGAGAAAGAGAGAGAGGGGGGAGGCAGGGAGGGAGGGAGGGAGGG